AGAACTTGTTGAGTCCTTTCAACTTATTATTAATACGTCCCCTGCTGACTTTAGTTGGTTGGTTGTATGGTTTTATATCCAAGATGTGGTGCTCTATATAATATAGTCAATATCAGTGTATGGAGGAAATCATGAGCAGAGAAAATCGGCGGCTCGGCCTTCTGGGGCCCTCCACGACTTGGCCTGGGTTGGAGCTCCCCATGTGGCCCCTTCCTGAGATGGCTCCCCTGCCCTTGACGTTGCCCCTGGGTAGGAAGTAGAACAGGGAGTCAGCAGAGTGCTGTGCTCCCTGCCAAGGAAGGAGCCGAGGGCATTCTCAGAGGGAAGAGTCTGGGACACTCCTACTGTGTGAGGTTCAAAGTCAGAGGAAGATGATGCGATGGAATGGGGTGGCTTTGACCAGGAGATGTGATCCTGGTACAGAAAGACCCGAATAATCTCAAAGACGGAGGGGAAGAGAAGGTACGACTGGGTGACTTAGGACCCACACACGGTTCTGTATCTTATGGGGCTTTCTGGCTCTGGTCCTGTAGTTGACTCACTTACTGCTCACCAAAACTCAGGGCTCCTCACTGTGGTGCCCCTCCAAATGAGAGGTGCGTCCCCACCTCATGAATTTGGCCGTGGCTCTGAGACTTGACTTGCTTTGGCCAATGACATATAGGAGGAAGTGATGTGTGTTACTTCTGGGTGAGGCAAAGAGCCAGTGTCTGGTTCAGCCCGCTGTGTCTTTCCTTCTGTGCAGTGTCCCAGAGAGGAACTGCTGTCCTGGGAATCCTGGAGTGAGGATGAGGCAGAACAGAGCTGCAGCAGGCCATGTGGGCGTATAACGACATGAGAAATAAACCTTTGTTATTGTAAGCCAACTCATGTTTGGGGTCTTTTGTTTCTGCAACATACCTAGCTATCCTGACTCCTCAGTTGGGACAGCTGAGAACATCTAAAGCTCAAGATAGAGCCTTAGTGTGGCTGCATGCTCTGCATCTCCAAATCAGGGTGCTCTAGAGGGCTAAGTTTGTGCCAGGTGGGGGAAAATTCACAGGATACTAGTCAATGTCCTTTCATCTTAAATGTCTAAGAAAAACATCCAGTCTGTGGTGGTTCTTAGTTTCATGGGATAATTTATCATTAAGAAATGGTATGGCATTTCTGAACTCCCTGCTATGTGGGATAACATCGTTATGAAAATCAGTTCCTTTTTTGGGAGATTTTCACCTCCTCCTTCCCCCAGCCCAGGTAGCCAGATATGAGTCACCCTCTCCTCTGGGTGGACAGAGGCCCCCCAAGACAAGAAAATACATATTTTAGTTCTTGAATTCAACATATGCTGGCAAAAGGTAGACAATTGCTAAGATGGTGAAGAGCAGGATACTTTTAAAGAACCCTGGGGATGGAAGAAATACATTGGGAAGGATTTGAAGGAAGCACTAAAGAGGGGTGCAGCGTACCTGGGAGAGACCATGAGTTTCCACCAGAATGAGTACGGCATGTCTGTCTTCCACCCCAGGAGGCCCTCTCAAAGCCAAGTACAGGCCTGCCCATGCCTCCTGTTGCGGTCCAGAGAGGCGGGCACTGTGCTCTTCAAGCCTCTGGCAAAAGTGATGGCCCTCTGTGTTCTGAGATCTTGTTCAGGGCCCCCTCTCCGTCTCATCACGGGAGGATGACAGCCAGGATGCTCAGGAGCCCGCTGGCATGCAGAGTTGGGTGGATCCTAGTCGAGGGTGGTGGTGATCATGGGGGCTTGAAGAAAAAGCTCCTGCCTGAACTAACTGGGTCTAAACCAGACCCTATAAAAGTCTTCCCGCATGCCCTTGCTCCCCAGGAGGTCACCTGGCCCGATGCATGGATGCAGGATGTTTAAGTCTGCATTTTGCTGTGAAAAGAGGTGAGTGTTAGTTGCTCAGTCATGTCTGACCCTTTGAGACCACGTGGACTAAGCCTGCCAGGCTCCTCTGTCCATGGAATTCTCCAGACAAGAACACTGGAGTGAGTTGCTATTCCCTCCTCCAGGGGATCTTCCTGACCCAGGGATTAAAGCCAGTTCTCCCACATTGCAGGCAGATTCTTTCCTATCTGAGCCACCCTGGAAGCCCCATTTTGCTGAAAGAACACCCAAATCTATGTAATGCATTTTGTCATAAAAATAATTTCTCATCTTAAAATTGTAATTTGACCCAAGATAATTAAAAACATACTTTCATGTAAAGGCTCATATAGGAATGCTCCTAGCAGTATTATTCATAAGACCCCAAAGTGAAAACTACCCAAATGTCCATCAACTAATGAATGGATAAACAAAATGTGATAATTCTTATTCTCCATACATTGGAATATTATTCATCCATGCAAAGGAATGAAGTACTGATTCATGCTACAACATGGATGAACCTTGAAAACATTAGGCTAAGTGAAGGAGCCAGACAGAAGACCACATCTTGTATAATTTCATTTGTAAGAAATATCCAGATAGAGCAAATACATAGAGACAAAAATTAACCAGTGGTGGCCAGGAGCTTGGGGGAGAGACAGCTGAGTGGCTGCTCATGGGGATGGGGTTTTTTGTGGGGTGATAAAAATATTCTGAAATTAGTCACGATGGTGGCATGAATTGTGAATATACTAAAAACCACTTTAAGAGATTGCGGCAATTGTATTTCAGTAAAAAATAATTTGTAATGATAGTTCTCAGTGAATGTAAAACTATACTATATTTTTATATTACCTTGCTCTCTGTGGGTCTGAGATTGAAAACAGAAAGTTTTAAACCAAAAGCAGGCTCAGTGGTTAGCAAATTGTGTCAGTCTAAAACAAGCACAAAGTAAATCCTTCAAAGTGAAAAGGAAAAATCGCAGACTTTGTTTCCTAAAAAAAAAAGAAGGAAGTGAGCTATTCAGGATGAAATAATTGAATTTTGGAGAAGCCTGTTTCAGTAACCCCCAAATACATCAGCGCACACTGATCATGTTGTTCTTCATTTTCTGGAAAAGGTGATCTTTTTTCAGATCATAATGTAGTAAAGACAAAAGTTAAGAACATACTAGGTGTCATCTTTGATCAGCAACAGTATTTCTGATACTGAGCAGGCACCCAAGTTTTAAAAAGTCACAAAATATTATTCTTATAAAAATTTTTGATGAAATATATTTTAAAAAGTAAAATAAATGATTTTGATGTTCATTCTTAACATAAAAGTGATTAACTTTTGGTTTTATTGACTAAGACAAGTCAAATTTTGATCTTTGGCTCAATTAACTGATCTGTGTGTTCTAAATTTTGCTAATCTGGGTATGCATGAATGCTAATTAGTCTCCTGTCAATAAATCACACCTTCAGAGTGTGCTGGGGTGAAGCAGGTTTGGGAGATGCTCTAGGGCATAGTTCTCTGCACACCTTTACACCAGAAAGTTATATTTAGGAATGTGTTAGGTAATGTTTGGAGGAGGGAATGGCAACCCACTCCAGTGTTCTTGCCTCGAGAATTCCATGGACAGAGGAGCCTGGTGGGCTACAGTCCTTAGAGCTGCAGACTCAGACGCAACTGAGCGACTCTCACTTCCTAGCACTAGGTGATGTTACAGGACTGAAGGATCCCCAAATCTCAATGTCTGTTTTTAAAAAGTTGATTTTGAGCTCACATTCTAGATCTTAGGCAAGTCAGTGGGAGCCTCAGCTCACCGCAGCTTGACAGTGGTGAGTCTCCACATTCATGTCCACAAGTTCCTTGGAAGGCGTTCGAGTGTTCTGCGTGGGCAGTTACATGCACTGCCCAGAAGAATATATGTCTTTTTTACTCACATTTCATTGACCAAAATGAATTACACGACCACACCTAATATCACTGGGGTCAGGGAGCTGCAATCTTTGTGTGTGTCGCAAGGGAGAGAAGCCAGCTATCGGGCAGCCCTAATAGCCACCTTCTAGTCTGGCCACTGTCCAACAGAAGCATAACACAAGCCCAGATGTAACTTCCAGTTTATTAAACAACATTAAAAGAAAAAGACTTCCCTGGTGGTCCAGTGGTTAAGAATACACCTGCCAATGCAGGGGACATGGGCTCGATCCCTTGTTCAGTAAGATTCCATGCTGCAGGGCAACTATCACCGTGTACCACAACTCTGATGCCCACGCTCAAGAGCCTGAGATCCACAATAAGAGAAGTCACCACGATGAGAAACTCACATGCAACTGAAGGCTAGCCCCCACTTCAGCTGCAACTAGACAAAGTTCACGTGCAGCAGTGAAGACCCAGCACAGCCAAAGCGAAATAAAAAATGAAATAAATTTAAAAAGAGAAAAAGGCAGGTGAAATTATTTTTAACAATGTACTTTATCCATGGAATTCTCCAGGCAAGAATACTGGAGTGGGTTGCTATTTCCAACTGCAGGGGATCTTCCTGACCTAGGGATCGAACCTGTGTCTTCTGTGTCTCCTGCATTGGCAGGCAGATTCTTTACCACTGAGCCACCTGGGAAGCCCTAATAATGTACTTTATTTAAACCAATTTACCTAAAATATTATCATTTCAACATGTAACCACAATAAGTTATTGAGAAACTTTATTATTTCTTGGATCTACGTCTTTGAAGTCTGTCTTCACTTACAGCCTAGCTCAACTCTCATTAACCCTATTTTAGATGCTCCAGAGCCACATGTGGCTTCCATATTGACAGTGTATCACCAGGGTTATGGCTCAGGAACACAGCTTTAAACACTACCACAAGCGTGCAAGTTCCTTGAAGAGACTTTTTTAAATCTTTAGAATTTAATTTTAAAAATAGCATGTATATTTTCATATAAAAACAATGTGTTAATGAATTATTATTGCATGAAAATTGCTCGGGGAGCATGGGCCATGGTAACCCCCTCTGTTTCTTGCCAGCATATTACTTTCTTTCTTTTTAAATTTTTTCCCAATTATTTTTATTAGTTGGAGGCTAATTACTTTACAATATTGTAGTGGTTTTTGCCATACATTGACATGAATCAGCCATGGATTTACATGTGTTCCCCATCCTGAGCCCCCCTCCCACCTCCCTCTCCACCCGATCCCTCTGGGTCTTCCCAGTGCACCAGGCCCGAGCACTTGTCTCATGCATCCAACCTGGGCTGGCGATCTGTTTCACACTTGATAATATACATGTTTCGATGCTGTTCTCACAGATCATCCCACCCTCGCCTTCTCCCATAGAGTCCAAAAGTCTGTTCTATACATCTGTGTCTTTTTCTGTCTTGCATATAGGGTTATTGTTACCATCTTTCTAAATTCCATATATACGCGTTAGTATACTGTATTGGTGTTTATCTTTCTGGCTTACTTCACTCTGTATAATGGGCTCCAGTTTTATCCATCTCATTAGAACTGATTCAAATGTATTCTTTTTAATGGCTAAGTAATATTCCATTGTGTCTAATTAAATTTAAAAGCTTTTGCACAACAAAGGAAACTATAAGCAAGGTGAAAAGACAGCCTTCAGAATGGGAGGAAATAATAGCAAATGAAGAAACAGACAAAGGATTAATCTCAAAAATATACAAGCAACTCCTGCAGCTCAATTCCAGAAAAATAAATGTCCCAATCAAAAAATGGGCCAAAGATCTAAACAAACATTTCTCCAAAGAAGACATACAGATGGCTAACAAACACATGAAAAGATGCTCAACATCACTCATTATCAGAGAAATGCAAATCAAAACCACAATGAGGTACCATTACACGCCAGTCAGAATGGCTGCTATCCAAAAGTCTACAAGCAATAGATGCTGGAGAGGGTGTGGAGAAAAGGGAACCCTCTTACACTGCTGGTGGGAATGAAAACTAGTACAGCCACTATGGAGAACAGTGTGGAGATTCCTTAAAAAACTGGAAATAGAACTGCCATATGACCCAGCAGTCCCACTCCTGGGCATACACACCGAGGAAACCAGATCTGAAAGAGACACGTGCACCCCAATGTTCATCGCAGCACTGTTTATAATAGCCAGGACATGGAAGCAGCCTAGATGCCCATCAGCAGACGAATGGATAAGGAAGCTGTGGTGCATATACACCAGCTGTTACTTTCAACCCCAGAGGGACTAGACCAGGACCTGGAGATTCCTCATCCAGGTTCGGGGAATACAGACTCGCTGGAGGTTCTTGAGTAAGTCGTGTGGACTCTCTGAGCTCAGTCTCCTCATCTGTAAGATGGCCTGTTTAAGTGAAATCATCACGAAAGCATTTTTTAAAACAAGACTTATGTATTTGCTTGTTAATTTTTGGCTGTGCTGGGTGGGTCTTGCTGCCCGTGGGCTTTCTGCAGTTGCAGCGAGTGGGGCTATTCTTCACTGCCATGTGCAGGCCTCTCATTGTCGAGGTTTCCGTTGTGGCAGAGCACAGGCTGCAGGCGCGTGGGCATAGTTGCTCCACAGCATGTGGGATCCAGGGATGGGACCCGTGTCCACTGCATCGGCAGGTAAATTCTCAGTGCTAGACCGCAAGAGAAGCCCTTGAAAACACCTTTTCAAACCTCAAAGTCTAAGATTCTAGTTAGGATAACACAGACTATCGTGACAAAGACTGAATTTTCTTTCTTTCTTTTTTTTAAGAAAAAGTGGCCTTGGGGAATTCCCCTGACAGTCCAAGGGCTGCCAGGACTCCATGCTTTCACTGCCAAGGAGGGCAAGGGTTCGATCTCTGGTCGGGGAGCGAAGATCCTGCGAGCTGCACAGCACAGACCCCCCCTGCCAAAAAATTTTTTTTAGTTAAAAATAAAGAAAGAAAAAAGAAAAGAGAGAAAAATTGGCCTTTAGTATACTAGCTTGTAGAGTAACCCGTTTGGGGCTCCTTTCCGAAAGAGGAAATGGCTATGTTCTTTCTACCTCCAGTGGTTATCCATCTAAACTTTATCATTACTGAGCAGCTCTCGGGAAAAGCTAATCCTGCAGCCCCCGGGCTGTGTGGCTTCTGAGCCTTGCCTTAGGTTTAGGGATCTGAAATCAAGACCTTGCTGACAGCAGGTGCCCGTAACGAATTCCCTCGACTGGCTCTGCCCCTGGAGTCCCACTGGGCATTCCAGCTCACTGCTGGGAGAAAGTCCAGGGTCCATAACCGATTAATGATCCACAGGGGTTTTGGAGGCCCAGGTAATTATTTGAACAGTAAAGGGGAGGGGAGTGAAACCTTCCTGCTTTGCCGGCGGGCAATGAACTAGGCTGAGGACAAAGAGGCCTGCACTCCCCAGGGCCCCTGGGCTGTGCCGGCCTTGGGTTCGCTGCGGAGGGACCGCAGTGCAGGGGGAGAAGGCTGGAACCAGGCACGGGCTTTGCTGGGGTCCCAGCTGCGGCACCAGGCCGTGTCTTCCTGCGGTCTGCTCCCGGTTCACTCACAAGGAACATTCCAGTTCCTCTTATTATTCCCATCTCTTCTCAGACAGGTCACCAGGGCTAATGAGCAGAGTTCATGTACTGTCACACACATCTCTGGGAATAAAGGATTTAGAGCCACGTGACTACTGAATACAACTCATTAGTTGCTGCCAGGCAAAACGGTTTATTTAGAAATGTTAATAATGGTTCTTCATCATATGGGATTGAAGGCAGACAGTATTTTCTAGTGTCTTCAAGCCTATGTAAAAGTATACATCATTTTTATGAGGATCTCTAAACTGTTGGGCCCCCTGTTGTTCAAGGAGGTAAGAAATCAGGAACCGAAAAACTTCCTGCTTAAAGAATATTTGGACTCCAGAATGTGGGCTGGGACACTGATTCCGGATGGCTTATGCAGAAACTAATGTTCAACAGTTTTCTTACCCCTTTGGGCTTAAATTCATACCCAAGATGCGTTTTCCCTTAAGAACTAGGCCTCGTGCTTTAAAATACATGATTAAGGACCAAAGAGGGTGCCGCTCAGTTTTCCTTCCAACTGAGACATCTTATCAGTAAATTCCTGCATTCCTGGGTCAGTTTCCAGCCGGCAGGACAAAATGAGAATTCGTGTGAGTTCAGGTGAGGTGAAGTGAGGCTGTTTACTTGAAGAACACCCGTGCCTTGGTTCTGTTACAGCTGGGTGTTTATTTCTGGCTCTGTCTGCCCGCAGTCCGGTTGAGCGGGCGGGCGCTGGGCCGAGCCTTGCCGCGAGCCGACCCGCCCTCCCTCTCTCCACAACCTCGGGCGGTCTCACCGCGGCTGCGTCCAGCCCTCCTTCGCCGCCGGAAGAGGGCTGACGTCGTGGAGGGGACTTCCGGGCTTCTGCGGGCCGGGCCCTCTGGATTCGCGCTCCTTCTCGGGCCGTCGCGGGCTCCCGACCCGCAGCTGCCTCTCCTGCGTGTCTCCCCGCTGGCCTCGCCTGCACGCCACGCACGTCTCACACCTGCGGCCGTCCGAGCGCTTCCTCACACCCACGCCGCCCCTCGACGTCCTCTCGGACCGAGCTCATCCTCCGCTGCCTTTTCGCTCGCTTGCTCGATGACTCTTCCCTTGTTCCTCAAGACCCGCCTGAGGCTCTTCTAAGATCCCCCGCTCCCACCGCCACCGCCCTCGTCAGACGCGGCTGCCACCTCCCCTGTTCTTTCAAAGCGGACCCGTTGTCTTTCTCTCCCTAGCACAGCACTTCTTACAGGGTTTTAATAAGTAAAGGGGCCCTGGGGGTGTTCAGGATATGCCACCCCCAAACATGGCACCTTGGTGTGTTGAATATTTTAAGCTGAAGGAATATGAGAACTCTTTGACCTTCCCCTGAAGAAGGTCCTAAGACCCTCATGTGAGAGGTGTCCGCCGTATACCTGGGAGAAACGAAGATCTTTATCTCCAAGACGGGAACTCTAGAGGAATCCGAAAAAACAGGTCTTACTAAGTCTCCCCCAGTTTACAATTCTTAGCTCCCTACGCCTAGCACAGTACTGGCTCCAATTTCTTTGAGTTGGACAAAGTAACAGGCAACTTTAAACTGTATAGATGGAGTTGAGACAGCCTAACCGTGGCTCATGTATTTGCTCAGGAACAGGTACTGAGTTCCTCTGAGAGTTGAAGTTATGCGAGTGAGCCACTGAGTGTGGTGGAGAGGACAGATTCAAGTTGAAATCATGACTCTGATTTTAACTTTAAGCCTTTCCACAGTTACCCTTTCTGCAGAAGAGCGATTAACAATGCCAAGGCATAGGATTGTTGAGAAGATGAAATGAGATAATGCCTGTGAAATAGCTGCCGTCCATGACACATTGCAGACACGTTTTAACTGCCTGTGCCTGCCTTTAGCTGGATGTTGCTGGTTTCATGTCTGCTCTCGGCCAGCTTCCAAGAAGTGAGCCTGAAATGGGAATTCTCGTGAAAGTGCTTTATTGAGGAAATGTACTTCAGGAGAAACCTATAAGGGAGGGTGTGCAGGCGGATAAGATAGGGGAAGAAGCTCTGCAGGGACGTGGACTCAGCAGCCTTGGCCTGACTTGTGGCAGCTCTGTAGCATCCACAGCTCCACCGTCTCTCCCCATTGAGACAAGGGGGTTGGCTCTTTGCTCTTCACATCATGCAGTTAGCTGTCAGCTGCCCTGGTTGGACTGGGGGAGTCACTTCCAGAGACAAGGAGGTCCTACCAGCTGAGGTCTGTTCTCAGGCCAAGGGAGGCATCTGTGAGCTGTTTGCAGTCAGCCCTCAGGGAAGCTGGGGCATGGGTGCATGGGCCTGGCAGAGGGCATCTGGGCAGTGTACCACAGCATCTCCTACAACAGGGCCAAAATAGACAGACTGTATTTGAACTAGGCCTTAATAAAGGAGATGGAAATGTGTATAAAGAGACAAAGGAAAAGTCTTCACTGATTTCCAGTTGGGAGAGCATCACTGCCCAAGACTTGGGAGGGAAACTGCGGTTCTTTCCTTTGGTGTGTGAGATCCCTCGCTGGGTGCTGGATAAGACCCTGGTGAGTACGCGATGAGCATCCTGTTTGGCTTGAGTTTGGATAACGTGAACGGGGAAGGGAAGTAAGGATGGAAAAGTCAACTAAGAGCGGGCTGGACACGGTGTGTTTGGGGTCCCAGGAGACGTGCAAGGTAAGACTGGACAACGCATGAGGAAGCTGTGCCTTGGGACACATATTCATCCAAGGGCCAGGCTGTGGGAGGAGAAGGAGT